TTAAAAATTTCAAAATGATTTAATTTAAACCTATAAGATGTTGCATCCGTGGAAAGCTTGTGTAATAGGCTTTCAAAATATTGAATAATATACAGACCGTTTCATTTAAAAAAACGAAGTTTTTTATAGTTTAATTTTCGAAAATATTATATCTTATAATATGTACATATTGAAATAATTATGAAATATGGACGAGATAAGAAGTTCGGGTCTCAACTAACTTTAGCCAAAACTTATTTTTCGAATTTGTTGAATAAAAGAGTTTTTGAATATTTTTAAAATGTACCGATTTTTCAGTAAATTTAAGAAAAATTTGAATAACATGGCAATACAGCATCATGTTTACAAAAACAATGCATTTTTGTAAAGGTCATTGAAGTAGAAATCTAAAAATTTTAAAATATACAGGGCGTTTTAAATAAAAATTTTATCAAAATGTTTTGCTACTTGAACTTTGAGTACTCTGTATAAATGAAACTATTTTCTAGTTATGGGGATTTTTGAACAAAACAAATCGGTTTTTGTTTTATTTTGATATCTCAATTAGTTTCGGCGCTATACTCTGCGGGGAGATAATTGGTCCACCCTGTATATGTATTAGCATATTAGAACATTGAATTTGATATTATACAGAATGTCATCAATCAAACAGATAAAGCAACATGCAGGTTCGGTGAAGAAGAAGATAAAAATAATCCACTTCACGTGTCAGTGTGAAGGCTAGATTGACGTTTCTAAAGCTTATAAGTTTTATTAATAAAGACTAAGCTAAGAAGACATACTCTGTAACGAAGTCCCACAATAGGTCTAAAAAGGTTGCGGTGGACAAGAACAAAATTCAGATTTGGTTTTTTTGCCCCAAAAACCCAGCATTTTAAATACATTGGACCCCTTTAGCAAAACAATGAAAATATTTTTTAAATACTATTTAAAATATAAAAAATATAAGTGCAAATCTATTTTTAGAAACAATTGCAAAAAGAGTTTCTTAGGTTAATATTTAAATCTGACATTATTTTTTGCGTACTTTTTCCCACAGTTGTTCCAAGTTTATGTTGCCGTACATGTATATCCATATTTAAATACATGTATAATTTTTGGATTTTTTAACCAGTATTAAAATACTTTGGACGACTCTAGCAAACTATAAATAATAAAGAAATTTTATTTTAAATGGTATTTAAAATAAAAATGTAAAACAGGATTTCTACAAAATATTTCAGAAAAGAATTTTGTTTGTCAGTGAATTCAAATATGACATTAGTCATCGAGTAATTTCTCCATTTTTAGTTTTAAGACACACTGTATATGATAAAAGTCAATGTTCCCATATATGCCAATCCATATTAAAATACCTATATATAAGTTATTTTGGCATATTTTGAACTAAAAGTTGGATATATACGTTTGTATATCAAATGTATACAAATGTATACGTTTGTATATAGGGGTTGCAAAATGTCCTCAAAACTGCCCTTTGACATACATATATATATATATATATATAACAACTATTTTAATTTTTTTTATGACTTTTACTAATTTATTAAAACTCCCTGGATTTACGATTTTTGATTTCTTCGCTATGCCTTTCGACTAAAGCCTGCGCAAGGTTTTGATCCTGCTTATAAAAATTGTTCTCTGGAAATTTTTTAAATAGCGTCCTTGTATAACTTATTACATTTTTGGATTCTACTCAAGATTCCAGCCTGCTTTTATGTTTCATATTTTAAACTTAAAAATGTTTGACATAAAAACTCAAATATGTCTTCAAAACTGTTGAAACACTGTAATTTTTATTTCTAGATTCTGTGAATGCCAAAATAAAAAACTTAAATATTTCCAAGTTGCTTAAAACATATTTGTTTGAAATCTTTTTTAGACGCAGTATCAAAATAACCGCAAGTGCTTTTCCAGACTCTTTCGGCTCCTGATTGGCCTTCTTCACTGGGTTTTATAATTAAAACTAAAGCTGACCCCATTTTTAATAATCCCCTGTGGAAGTTTTCTTTGTTTGCTAGTTTTAGTTTTATTTTTACTTTCCTATCTTCCTATCTGGGGGTCGATTCTCGACTCGTAGGAATTTTCTCCTATAGGAATTTTTGAAATATTTCTATACATCGAAAATTTATAACATTTTCCTACATATAGGAAAGAATCACATTGGAAAAGGTTTCTACAAGTCGAGAATCTGCCCCCAGTATACAGATAAGGAAAGTATTAGGAAATCATGATTTTTTTCGACCTCGGGTTTTCGACGGATTTTTACGTTTTGGGGCAGGGGGAATCCGTTTTGAGTATTTTCATTAGATTTTGAGCAGAGTCGGAACATCTGGGAGTACTTTATAGAGGGTAATTTTTATATTTTATGAAATATATCTGTTATTTACGTTTGTAAAAGAAAATTCTTTAAATAATAGTTACTTCTTATATTATTATCTATAATTTTTGTTGTATACAAAATTTTCCTAAAATGGTCCGTATTCGAGAAATTTGAGAAAATGTAAAAAAATCAAATTTTTATGAAAATTGTTCTAATAAAAGTTGTTAGTGATATAATTCTCTATAATTTTTGTTCTATTCGCAAGGTGCAAAGTATATGGTGGGGACAGTCGAATCGACAGCAGCGTTCGCAGTGGACAAAGTAGGCATTAAATCTGGATTTTGTTGTGAATAAATTAATAAAAGAATTTAAATATCTCATGAACGGTTGGATTTACGAAAATTTTTCGTTCCTGCTAATTTGTAGAGAACAGTTTTCTCCGTCGAATGGTGAATAATTAATTTTCCTAAGGTTATTAGTTTTTGAGTTTTAACAAAAATTTAAATTGAATTACATTTAATTTTTAATTATTACGCCATTATGTCAAAAACTATTGAGTTTTGGAAAATTTTGAACCAATACAAATTTGTTAATCATAGTTTTTTCTTGCCAACAAAGCAATACTTTAATCTTTAACCATTCAGAAGTAATAGGGATAAATCTTCACGGCATACGATAGCCTGAATATGACAAAATCGCTAAGCAAAATACGGTTTGTTTTTCTCGGTCTTTTGACGTTTTAACAGTTAACCGTACTTATTCTATACGAAAAATGGGGCATTTTACTTGTTGCGTTGTGAATTGCAAAAATACAGGCAAAAATAGTAGTTGCAAATTTTATACATTTCCAACTGCCAGTTGGAAATTAGAAAAAAGAGCGAAATGGATAGAAGCAGTTAAAACGAAAAAGTAAGTAATGTACAACCTAACTTTACCTTTTCTTATAATTAAAATAATATTTTTATAGTCTTGATGGATCACCGTGGATTCCAAAACCAAATGATTGCATTTGTAGCGATCATTTAATTGGAGGTAAAAAATCAGAGGAGGAGGAAAGTCCGCGCATTTTCTAAATTCTTTCACTTCTCTGACATGATTTGCCCTTACCAGTTGTTTTCCTTCGTACAAAGTTTTAGGTCGAAACAATATCTCATGAGATATTGCCTCAAATCCTGTTTGAATAATGATGTTGATTGGTAGAGAATTTATTAAAACATATTAATAGTTTAAATTTTTAAACTAACCTTTTTTTGACAGTTAACCTAATACTATTCTTATGTTCTTCTTTATTTTTGGCCTTTATCTATTCAGCATTATTTTATTTAAAATAAAATGCATTTTATACTCATTAAAATTACTTATACTTACTTTTTTTAATCGCGATATGTAATATTTACTATTTATTTAATATTTATCACGTATTACACTTATATTTCACAGCGATTTTATTTTTATTTTGTATTTATAAAATTTTTACATGTAATTCATCATTGATAGGGCCAGATTTAATGCGGTCACAAGATGTCGCTTCCTTCGCGCACCCGGCGAATACATAATTTCTCTTAAATGAACCGTATTCTAGATTGAGAAAAAGTATAAATTTTGAATTTTAAAGAAAACTTAAAAACGGATAGAGAAAAACACATTAAATTTTAAACTTTATTCTGAGGTGAACTGATTGAATTTTGGGCAGACTAGGAACATTCCTTAGTTACTTTTAATAATATTCTCTATAATTTTTGTTTTACACAAAATTTTCCTAAAATGGTCCGTATTCGAGAAATTTTTCAAAATGTAAAAAATTCTGATTTTTAAAAAAAAATTGTTGAACGAAAAGATCTCTATAATTTTTGTTTTTTACATGATTTCTCTGATGGACCGTAATGGAAAAATTGGAGGAAAAGTATAAAATTTAAATTTTTCAGCATTTTCGTTATCAATGAGTGCGCATATAGAAAAATGTTTCGAGTTAGATGTATGTGGAAAATGTATATATTAAGTTAACCTCTAAAGATTTACAGAGGTGCTACAATAGGTTGTACAAAATAACCGAAAAAGTCTGCAATAACTAGATAGGAATTTTAAGCATTTTAATAATAAAAATAAAACCACTATTTTGTTTAGCCAACCGTTCTTTTTTTTAATTTTTGGTTTAAAATGACATTTGTTATTATTAAGTATTACTTTTTTATATATAATATTATACTTTTTCCTTTGGATAAGAAAGAATTAGGTTTTTTCATAAATAATTTAATTATTTTTTCTTGTTTTTAAATTAATCCCATGTGGGAGTTTTCCGTGTTTGCTAGCTTTGGTTTGGTTTTATTTTTTTTTTTTATCAAAAATATGGTCAGTCTTTAAACATAAAACCCACAGAAGAAGGCCATTTAATCAGGCTATAAAAGCTATTAAGCAATAAATTAAATCTACAATATTAAGAAATAACAATTTTTAAATTTAATTTGAAAACCTTATCCCCAAAAAAATCACCCTATAGAAAGAAGGTTTATGAAAAGAAATTTAATGACACAAATTTCAACCCCAATAAAATAAATAATCATCGCATCACATCCCTGTGTGCGCCGCTGGTTTCACAGGTCACCACCCTGTACGTATACACTTGTAGTACCTTCCATCATACCATACCGTACTCTTAAGGTGTGTTCCATGGTCGTGCTACCCAAGGTTACCCCTCGCTATATAACGAAATTGTCGACTGGGGGGGCACTAGTTACCTCTTTGCCAGCATCCGGGAAATTTTCACCATGTTTTTTTTGGTGAGTATCCAAAAATTTTGAGTATTTTTTGGTTGGTTTTTAGTGAGATAGTGTGATTCGGGTTTCAAAAAAAAAAAATTAAGTAACAGGAAGTATTTTGCGTGGTTTGAAAAGGAGAAAGGATAATTTGCGATAAACCTTGTTAACCTTTAACGTTTCTTTGTTTGTACCTACAACAGTAGTACCGCATTCTTGATTTAAGTAACTTATACAGAGTGATTAGAAAGTAAAGTGGGTGTTTAAATATCGTTTTTATGATAATATCGGGGGCTTATTTAAATTTAATTTTAAAAGATGATTTTTTTTATTATATTTTTCAAAATTACGTTTCTTTTTTCTTCAGTATCTGATTTAATTAAATTATTTCACAAATTCAAATAAATGATTGTGCAAAATATTATAAATAGTATTATATTTTCATTATTTTTTTTTTAATCTTTTAATTAGGTTTTAAAAAAATAATAAATTTTACTGTTTCACATTTTTGATATTATGGATTTTTAGCGTTTAATATACAGTATTTGTCAAATAATTAATTTGGTCTATATTATTGAACTTTAATATCTAAAAACTTGTAAAGCCATTAAACTATAGGGGTCTAGTGTAAAAAATTATGATTTTTTCCTGTTGTGCGTCTCAAACTAGAATTAAAAAAATGGATTCATAAAAGGAATATACAGGGTGTCAATTTGAAAACTTTCCTCTCTTAATATCGTCCTTCCAGTAAATATTATGAAAAATTGGAGATACATCCATTTAATTTTCAAGAGTGGCACTTTTAATAAATAGGATTACCAGGATTTGACAGGTAATTTTATGACAATATGACCAATAATTGCGTTGCTTTATCTTAGCGCTCTCTAGCGAGTTAAAAAGTGTTACTTATTGTTAAGTGTAAGACATTTGAAAGCTAATTTTATTAATGATATGACGCATATCATAAATTTGTTAATAAAGTTTGTATTTATAAACGTTATACAGGGTGTTTCAAAAAGATTGGTCATAAATTATACCACGTATTCTTGGGTCAAAAATAGGTCGATTAAATCGTACTTACCTATAAACAAAGTGCAAATAAAAATAGTTACAGGGTGTAAAAAATTTAATTGAATTTTTTTAACGTTGCTCTTAAACCGTTTGACATTTTTTCATGAAATTTTATATGTGTTGGAATACCATGACTAACAAAATCGAGGTAGAGGCAATATATTTTTTTAATTTTTGTAGGATTTTGGAGGGTGTCACCGCCCCTTTCTTTACTCAACTTTTTTGTAATATAAAATTTTATTAAAAATCGAACGCTATTAAAATGCAACATCTATTTGGAAACTTTTTTTCTTAGTATTTGTTTGTAAAATGTTTGGTTTAGACGATACAGCCACTTAAAATGACATCTTAAAAATATTCAATGTAAAATTATACGTATGCAAAAATATCAAAATTAGATTTTCATTGTTAAAACTATGTAGTAAGTGTATACAGGAGGAGAATGTAATTTTGAACACCTGTTAAATTAAATTGTTTTATTTTGATATTAGTTTGTAATTTAAAAATAAACTTGATTTTGATATTTTTCGTACGTAGAATTTCCATTGAATATTTTAAAGTTGTCATTTCAAATGGCTGTATCGTCTAAACTTTAAATGCAGTTTAGAGCGAATCCACATTTTTACAAAAAAAAAATATTTTTCTTAAATAAACAAGCTTTCCAACCACAAAAATGAAAAAAAAAAAAAAACCCGGCGGTCTCATGAAAATTACCCACTCCACCAAAAAAATAATTTTGTCCATATTTGCAAAATAAAACATTACTAATTAAAACCCGTGTTTTTTCATCAGAAAATATAAAAATGAAAAAAAAAACCCGGCGGTCTCATGAAATTTACCCCCTCCACCAAAAAATATTGTTTTCCATATTTGAAAAATAAAACATCACTAATTAAAAAATTATGTGTTTATTCATCAGAAAACATAAAAATAAGTACAAATCCGTCATCGTGAGAACGGACCTTTTTTAGGCCATTTTAGAAACTCTGAAATACATTTCAAAATATTTTTTGCCCTGGAAACGCTTAAAAATAAGTAATATATCATTTTAATTAATTTTAATTATAGAATGTGTTAAATTAAAAAAAAAACCTAATTAATTTACCTAGCATATACGGCTTGAAGGCATCGGAATTAACACGCAAAAAAAATATACATAAAACCTAACTAATTTATCTAACATGTGAGGCCCATTCCATCGCGGGTTATTTCTTAAAAATAATGTACATAAAATGACAAAAATTAAAAAACTTAACTAATTTTGCTAACCTGTGTGACCTGTGGTCATCGCGGGTTGTTTCACAAAAACATTTTACATAAAATGAGAAAAATTTAAAAAACTTAACTGGTTTATCTAACCTGTGGGTCCTGGAGCCATCGCAGGTTATTTTGCAAAAGTTATACATAAATTAAGAAAAATTAAAAACTTATTTACATAACTTGGAGCCATCACGGAAAGAATCGTAAAAAATTGTTATATAATATAAAAAAACTAAAAGAAACTAATTTACCTATTACCTAACCTATATAAAAAATTCGTAACCCCCTTATTTACTACCGTCTTCACCATCATCGTCATCTTCAATATCGTTAGAAATCTTCAGTGCTACAGGATCATATAAATCCCGAGCCAGCATAAAAAAAAACACCATAGGATCTTGCTTTAACTCCCTACATTTCTTTAGAAACATATAGCGAGCTAAATAACCCCCAAGAAACTGTTTTTCTATGAGAATATGGTTCTGCCGCCTTTGCATGTCGCCTGAAATAAAAACTAATTTTACAAACATCCCTTCCACAGCGAACTGACAAAAGATCAAAGAATATGCTTTTTTGACTCCTAGCTTAATATCACTTTTTTACATCTAATTAAAAACGTACCATAAACTTGATGATTAACTTGTAAATGTTTATATTTTCCACTTTAAGATTAGAATATCCTTTCCAACAATCAGAATATATTACAGTGCCATCCTCAAACAAATTTTCAATACATTCCAAAAGCGTTTCTTGGGTTCTATTAGCCACTACCACCATAAAAACTCTTCCTATGCCTCGTTCCTATCCTTCGAAAACCCAGGAACCATCTACATGATTTTCTCCATGGTACTTACGTTTTCCAAATTTTGACTCATCGGTTTCCACACTAAATAGAGAAAATACAAGAAAAGTATAATATAAATAATAATGAAATAAATGTATCCACTCCACTTCACAAAGCCTTTATCGTAAATGCGTCAAAAACAACTTCTCTACAAAAATTTGCCCAAACAACTAATGTATGCTGCGTATGCTGTGCCAATCTCAATTCATTTTGCATCCTTAATAACGAATCTTTAGAAACCCACATAACGATAAACCCCAAAATTTTCCACATAGGTAAGTGAGATTTATAAAAAAAACTCTTATAACGTAAAGATGCCCTAAAAAAGTAAATTATACATTACAAAACAATAATGTGCAAATAAATAAAGATAACCTACACTTTCCTGCATGCCACAGGTTTTTTCTTACTCTTCTTTATGTGTCCATTGCATCTCCAACGAAAACCATCTACCAATTGAGCATATGGCGTCATTACAAAATAGCCATCACATTTTTCCACTAAACATTTAATTTCATTATTTTGCGGTATTACACCCAAGCTCTGCACTTGCAAAATAATGTCATTATTATTTCGCCATCTAAATATATCATCTAACTAAATTATTGAAATCCATTATCAGGCAAAAACTAAATATTAGAATAATATTTCAAATTGTACTGTCACTTTACAGTATATCATATCACTATAATAAAATTACTAATCGCAGTAAACTAGTACATAAACGTCACATTATCTGCATTGGCAAATTAATACAAGTGAAAAAGTGAACATTTTAAAAGCGATTAAATTTATTTAAATTAGTGATCGCCAAGATTTTTTTTTTATTTTTAAGCTTCCAATGACATATACTTCCACATAAACTAAAAATTTTAGTAATGCGCGGATTCACTCTAAACTGCATTTTTACAAACAAATACTAAGAGACAAAAAGTTTCCAAATGGATGTTGCATTCCAGTGGCGTTTCATTTGTAATTAAATTTTATACCACAAAAAAGTTGAGTGGAGAAAAGAGCGGTGACCCCCTCCAAAAACCTATAAAAATTAAGAAAAAATATTGCCTCTTCCTCGGTATTATTAGTCATGGTATTCTAAAACGTCATATAAAATTTTATAAAAAAATGCCAAACGGTTTAAGAGCAACGTTAAAAAAATTCATTTAAATATTTATCTTATACACCCTGTGACTATTTTTGGGTGCACTTTTGTATATAGGTAAGTACGGTTAAATCGACCTTTTTTTGACCCAAGCATATGTGGTATAATTTATGACCAATCTTCTTGAAACACCCTGTATATCTACGCGATTTAACAATTATTAAAGTTCATATCTCATTAAATTATATTTTGTTATAGTGTGAATTAAATAACTAATAAAATTGGCTTTCAAATGAAGTGTCACACTTTACAATAAGTAAATTTTTATCCCGCTAGTATGCGCTCAAATTAAAAGTAACGTAATTAATAGTCATATTGATGATTTCTTCATAAAATTAGCTTTACAATAATGTGCCATCTGACCCCTTTCCAATTTAATATTTTACTTCTCCTAGGGGGTTCAACTACGAAAGCTAAAATTATTCATTTAAAATGTCCCCCCTAAAAATTAAATTGACGTATCTTTTCGATTTATCATATTATTTACTGGCAGGAAGATATTAAGAGCACGAAGTTTTCAAATTGACACACTGTATGGCACACAATTTTTCTATTCACCTATATTTTACTTTAATGCCCATGTTTTTACTATTAATAAAAATATTGAATAAAAAAAGCCCCGAAACAGACCCCTGAAGGACATTATGCAAATTCTGGATGGTCGAGCTTTCAAAGCTTTTGAGAAAACAGCATAAATGTACAATTTAGTATTTTTTTCCTTTACTAAATCTTTACTCGTAGTCGGGATAAGCGTTTTAAAAACTTGACGACTGAAATTAGATCAAGGGCGGCTACAGGGGGGCTATGGAAGTCGTAACCCCCCCCCCCACGAGATAAAAATTCTTACGATTTATGAGCCTTTTTAACCGACTTCAAAAAAGGAGGTTATCAATTCGTCGCGATATTTTTTTTTTTTTTTTTTTATGTATGTTCAGCGATTATTCTTTAACACGGTGTCCGATTTCAATGATTCTTTTTTTGTTAGAAAGGGGGTACTTCAGGGGTGGTCCCATATAAATTTAGTCAAAATCTAATAATTGGGTCCATGAGAAAATCCTCAAACTCTTCATTTTTGATGTATGTTTAGCGATAATGCTTTACCACCTTGTCCGATTTATATGATTCTTCTTTTGTTAGAAAGGGGATACTTCAGGGGTAGTCCCATATAAATTTGGTCAAAATCGGAAAATTGGGTCCATGAGAAAATCCTCAAACTCTTCATTTTTTATGTATGTTTAGCGATAATGCTTTACCACCTTGTCCGATTTATATGATTCTTTTTTTGTTAGTAAGGGGGTACCTCAGGGGTGATCTCATATAAATTTGGTTAAGATGTGGTGATGGCATCTGCACGTTTTTGAAGTCGGTTTTTTTAAATTTTTAATTTACACTTGTATTCAAAAAATATGCTAAAAAGGCTACAAGGAATGCTCCCCCTTCCCCAAAAAATTCGTCCGTGAATTAGATTAAAATTGTAATTGGTCAGCAGCTATCAATAGGTCTGTTCCAACAACGATCAGAAACCAGTCATTGACACCAGTATTGTACACAGTATAAATTTGGCGATTTAAATAATCTACTACGCAGAATCCTGGTGTTGGAACCGACCTAACAATTGACCTATATTTAAAAGCAATTTTTCGAATATTTTTAAAATAAAAAGTTATTTATTAGAAAAAATTTTAATAGTTGACCATAGAACAAAGGTCCTTTATACCCTGGTAACATCTTTATTTGAAAGAATATCATAACAAAATACTTAGAATTTAAAACAAATTTTTTGTACGCAGGCCCCTCATTCATACAAAAACATCTATTTTAAAAATGTACCTACATAGGCCCTTTATCTATTTATATCTTCAATTATTCTAATTAAAGTAACAGTTATATCACCTTCCTTGAGAGTTATCCAATGCGCATATTTAGCTCTCATTATGTAATATTATCTAACAAATGCACTTTTACTTTGCAGTTACTTTCCCTGACTCTAGCGGCCACCGTCCAAGGCCAAGGCTACCACGGCGACCCAAGAACGGCCGCCATCTTAGCAGAGGATCGCTACCTGCAAGCTGACGGGCGGTTCGGCGCTCAATACCAACAAGAGGACGGCGTAAACTTCAAAGAAACCAGCTCTCCTGATGGTACGCGACAGGGAAGTTACTCTTACATCGACCCCAACGGTCAAAGGCACACCATCTCTTACACGGCCGGTAAACATGGATTTATGGCGACAGGAGACGGTATCCCCCAACCGGTACCGACTACTCTGCCAGTAGCACCGCAACCTAATTACACACCTTTACCTCAATACAATCCTCCAGAATATTCTAGGCCAAGACCGCAACCACAATATCAGCCTCAACCTCAATACCAGCCACAACCGCAATACCAACCACAACCTCAATACCGGCCACAACCCCAGTACCAGCCACAACCACAGTACCAGCCACAACCACAGTACCAACCACAACCACAGTACCAAACCACTACTCCCAGCCCACACAGATTTTACCCTCCCGGTAAATTATCCTTGAACAGATCCCCTGATGGTTATCAGTTCAGTTTTAAGAGTGCTTAGGTTGTGTTTGTTATCTAGACAGGCTGTGTTTAAAATTTTAGAATAATATTTTGAATTTTTAAAATAATAACAGTCATGTGTCATCTTGACGTTTAGATTTTTTCAGTAAACCGTGACAGTTTTAATAGTTTAATTAAAATTTAAAGATTGGTAGTAATATTTTTGTGAAGTGTCACTTTTACTGTCAAATATTACTCTGTCAAGATGACATTTGACATTTAGGGAATGACAGGTGTTTAAAATAGGTTGTAAAATGTCTAAATAGCTGGTAATTCAATTTTTTTGTTTTTAATGTCATTAAAATATTGATAAAAGTAAATTTAGAACTATATTAATCTATACTTTTTGTCCATTTAATATTGTAAATTTAGATTTACTTTATTTAGCAATATTTTGTGACATCTTTGTGAGTATAGTAGGTACCTACTTTTGTCTTTAAATTTTGTACAATTATTTTTTTAAACAATGTTGTAGTATTTATTTATGTTCCATATTTGTTTTATTGATTTAATAGACTGATGAGTACTCAATAAAAAAAAGAAAACTTGTCTTTGTTTTTATTTTTTATTTTTTAAATAATTATCTATTAAATATTAGATCTCTCATTGCAATTATCATAACGTCTAACAATCAAATAAAAAATTAGAAAATGATGTTTATTTTCTATACAGTGTATCGCAAACCGCATGATACATAAGGAAAACTTTCTAATTTCTGATAAAAGATATATAATTTTCGTACCATATACGAGGGAGGTCAAAAAATAAGAACTTTGGTCCTTGAATTTAAAAAAAAAAAAGAGAAAAATGTTGGTTGTATCAATATTTAGGAGCAAATATCAAATTAAACCCACCTAAATCAAAACAATTTTCATCCTGAAAGATTGGATGCAACGCAACATTGCATTAATGAATATAGAATGTCTTATATTTTTTATTACTTTTTGTTCTTCTTTAATAATTGCTTATTTACCCAGGAACTAGTAACTTGTGTCTCTTCAGACATTATTTCTTTAAATAATAAAAATCATTAAGGTGAATACAGCACCCCTTATCATTTTCGGACAAGGTTATTTCAAAAAGTAATTACGTTCAAAAAATTAAAATTTTGGCTAAATAATTAGGTTATAATATCTAGAATATGCATATATTTTAAAGTTTTAGTTCCTTTCAGTTCCCGAGAAAAAAAATTAAATTTTAAAATATCATAATGAAAATAAATTCATTTCCCAACAGCACTATCCTTAATATAATCCCGAAATTTGAGCTGTTAATGTATTGTTAATGATTTTTTAAAATTGGCCAAAATTAGTGGCTAAAACGCCTTGTTAAGTACTGCCTTGTGTTGTAACGCGACTGTAACTATTGTATCGTACACTCTCAGTCATCATTCATTTTCTGCAATGATTTACACCAGTTTACACCAGAAGATAGCACTTAACGAGGCGTTTTAGCCACTAATTTTGTCGTATTTTAAAAAATCATTAACATGACATTAAGAGCTTAAATTTATGGATTATATTAAGAATAGTGCTGTTGAGGAATGCATTTATTTTTATTATGATATTTCAAAATTTAGAGATTTTTTTCTCGGAAACTGGAAGGAATTAAAACTTTAAAATGTATGCATATTTTAGATATTATTGCCTAATTTATTTTGTCAAACATTAAAATTTAAAAAAAAAAACACTTTTTGAGATATGCTTCTCCGAAAATTATAGGGGTGCTGTAATCACCTTGATGAGATTTTCTTATTACTTCAAATTACACGTTTTTATTTGCGAATGTTGCCACTCACAGTTATCAATTTGACTTATACCATTCTTTTCTCGCTGATAAAATCACTAAATTATTTAACTTTTTTTATTCTTGCTGAAGTCACTCAATTATAGAAGTTACATTTTTTGCTGGTATCTAAACCGATTGAATTAAAAACTAGAATTCTACAAACGATCCAAAAATGTTCCAAAATGTTTTTTATGCTAGGTCAATATGTTCGAGGAAATAGTCTCGATGCGCCTATAACGACCCTTCTAATCCTATCTTCTCAAGGAAGTTTGTAGGATTTGGAGTGGCTTCAAGTTAGCTAAATCTTCTTTTTCTATTTGATATGCTCCTAAGTATAATGCCCTTGGATTCTAGAGTGCTACACATATAGTTAGCATGTATGTTCTGTACTCCTCACATAATCCTCACTATATTTTACTACTCTCAGTTTACTAAAGTGTTCTTTGAGTCGGCAACTCCCGGTAAAGATCCCAGTTACAATGCGTAGCCTGTTCTTACTCAGCGTGACACAGGATTTTGATCTATTCTGGTTACATTTACCCTGTCTTAACCCCAAGAGATTGTTTCAATTATTAGTTCTTCTATTGCCCAATTCTTTTTTAATATCTTCTTATATTGTTACACTGCTGATACCGCACAACGGCTCAGATCCTACAAAGTATGTTTGAGCCCCTTTTGTTGCGAGACTATCTGCAATCCTGTTACCATTTAATCCGTTATATTTCAGGACCCAAGTGAGAGTAACTGTATTTTCCTCTCCTAGCTCATTTGGTTTTTCTAGGCATCTCCAGGCCATTTCTAAGCTGATTACGTAAGAACTTAGAGCATTGATGGCTGCTTGGCTTTGGCTATCGGATACACTTCTTAATGGCGTGCATTGTGAAGTGAAGTGAAGATGTTTGGGTATTTACTCAAACTTTCAGATTGCTTGGTTCTACAGTTCAAGACACACTGATAATGCAGTATGACCAGGCATAGGCAATGTATTTCTAATGGGAGACCGGCACAGACCGATAGCTGTGACAGGGTCGGCCCAGTAGTAGTCAATGTTAAAAAAGCATGTATTCTTGGTTGCAAATATGAGGACCGTTCGTCCTTCTATTAAAGATTTTGTGACCTTATTTACTTCTTCCTTCTCATGTATGTTCCAGAAAAGTTTGTTGTCCACAGTTAGGCCAAATATTTGATTTCTTTTTTCATTCTATATCTACCACGTATAATTTTGCTGTTAAAAAATTAAAAGTACATAATTTTTTAATAGGAATGCAATTTATTTATTATATGGAAAGTAACTATACTTACTTTTTGACACCCTAGATTGTAACATTGTATTTTAAGTAGATTAAAGAGCATTTACACTGTATTTACCTATCTACAAACAATTTTACTCGCAAGCAAGAAAAATTATTATTTGTAAAGTAACTCGTGTTCTTTTACACTCAGTCTTATAGATAGTGGCCAAAAACGCTCCTAGTCGAGCTAATCCCCTGTTCACTCTCTAAATTCATATTTTGTATGGATCAATCTCAGTCTCTTACAATATCCCTCTATTTTCTTCTATCCTGTACTTTTTCTTGCTAATTATTCACTCCTGATCTGCGTAGATTTCTTTCATTTCCTTCATCCTTCCTGATCTGGGTCTTCTACGTCTCCCTCTGTCTCCTACGTCCCATTTTGACATTGAATGAACCAATATTCCATTTCCTACTATCCAAATGTGTCCCAACCGTTCAACTCTGAATTGTATATTTTTATTATGTCTTCTTCTAGTTCTTATTTAATTTCCTCATTTGTTCAAATTTTGTATTTTAATTATTGGTTCTAATATTGCTCATGATTTTTCTTTTCATAATTCTTAGATCTTCTTTTTGGTTTGGTATACTCATTGTTTCTGCTTCGTACAGTAATACTGGTCTGACTATTGTGTTGTGTATCTTAATTTTTTTGTCAGTAATTTACTTTGAACAAATTTTTGTTTACATGGAAGGCTTTATATGTAGTGACAATTTTTTCTGCAATTTCAAGTCTCCCGTCGTTAGTTATAGCTATTAAAATTTTTCCACTTCTTCGAAGTCATGTTTTCCTATTTTTCTAGTTTTTAAATTTGCTTTATTATTTAATCTAATAATTCCTATTTTTCATTGCTTTAGATCTGATTCTAAAATTTTCTCTTATTTTAAAATTTCGTTCGAAATATTTGTTACGATTTTTCATATTTTTGCGATTATCATTGTTATCTTTTATTAATTTTCCTCGTTACTACATATACTAGTGAGAGATTCAAGAGAGTGGCTAATAGCGAATATCCTTGCTTTACTCCTTTATTAATTTTGTTTTTTTATCCCCATTGCTATTAACGGCCTTAACTTTCTTAGTGTTGCTAATTCTTGTAAAGCTAGCTGTAGTTTTGTTCTTTTAATTGGGTCAAAGGCCTATTTAAAATCAATAAAAAGCATTTCTAATTATCTTTTGTGTTCATGCACCTTTTCCATTTATTGCACAGCTTGCATCTATAGGTAATTTTCTCAGTGTACATCCACGTTGAAACTCTCCTATCTGGGACATTCTGTATGAATACACTAAAATATTTTAATCAAAAGGGTAAAGTTTTGAATTTATAAAACCTGTTAGTTATTAAATCCAACTCACAATTTATTGAAACAACTACTAAAGGAATATTACATTATTTCAGTTAATGCAATAAAATGTTTTTTTTTAATTTGTAGAAACAAAAATCACGATTGAACTATGACGCAATTGGTGTAAATCTTATTGCATTCAAAGTTGACCTTTTGTTTATACAAACCTTTAAAAGCAGGAACGTATCTTGCATGAAGTTTGTATAATGAGAGACTGATTATAGAACATGAATTAAATATATAAGGGGCTATTAGATATTTTATAATTCATTTAACTTTTTTTTACTCATATTATATATCTTTATAGAGGGTATAACAAATAAAAAAGTAAATTTAACCACAGTTTCTGGGATCGAAAATACGCCGATTAAGATAACTTGCTTACATAAAAAATCTGATGTGTCCAACACATGACTTTCCTATCTAGTTATTACAGGCTTTTTCCGGTTATTTTGTACAACCTGTTGCAGCACCTCCATAAATGTTTAGAGGATAAAATAAATATATACATTTTCCACATACATCTACCTCGAAACATTTTTCTAGGTGTTCATTGAAAATGAAAATACTGAAAAATTTAAATTTAGCACTTTTCCTACAATTATTCCATTACGGTCCATTTTAGAAAAATCATGTATAAACAAAAATTATAGAGATCGACTTTTTTTTTCAACAATTTTCATAAAAATCAGAATGTTGCACATTTTGTCAAATTTCTCGAATACGGACCATTTCAGGAAATTTTGACATAAAGCAAAAATTATAGATAATAGTATTAGAAATAACTTTTATTTGAACAATTTTTTTCTCCAAACATAAATAACAGATATATTTCATAAAATATAAAAACGGCCCCCCATAAAGTACCCCCCCAGATGTTCCGACTTTGTCCAAAATCTAATCATTTCACTTCAGGCCGAAATAAAACTTAAGTTTAAAATTTAATGTTTTTTCTTTATCCGTTTTTGAGTTTTTTCAAATTTCGAAATTTACAC